ATGGTACTGGGAAATAGTGCATTAGACTAATTTAATATGCAGTAATTGATGTGCATGTGTAGACAGCGATGCCTTACTGCACATTAGTCTAATGTGCAGTAATGCACCTTGTGTTGATGCACCCACTGATACTCCTTTTACCCTAAGCCAGGGCTGGTGTATACAGGAAGGCTCATGCAGAGAAAGCTAGAGTGTAACTCACAGGGGCTACCTTCTCTGTGCTCAACCCCTGTGAGGATGTACATCTAGTGAGTGCAAAGTAGCTTGCACTACCTTGATTTGCTCCACCGTATTACCCACATGTATATTTTAAATAGAAGCACCGCTCTGAAAGTGGGATAAGCTACTTCCCACATGCTGGGCATTAAGAATGTCCACGTGGGGCGTTGGTATGGAGTAGCTTGCGTGCTATAAATCCATGCCCTAGTACACAGATGGCAAAATCATCTAGCCCTGTGGGCCAGATATGTGGTGTGGGATTAGTTTGGGGCTGGAAGAATGATGCAGGGCTGGTCTGGGACCCGGTGGGGAGAGACCTGGCATCCGGGGCTCTTGATTGCTGCCACAGGAACAAGCTGCAGTGCCAGGCTTCTTCCCACGGTGCTGCTGGGCTCCAGTGCCCCAAATTTTGCCTGGATGTTTGCCTACAGATGCAGAATGGTCTCCCCCATCAAGGTTGTGGGCTGGATGACCAAACTCCATGGGCTGGACCCAGCCTGCGGGCTATATGCTCAACACCCCTACTGTAATGTACTCCATGGTCACTTTCCTAGGTAGACAGGTAGCCCCTAGGGCAGGCAGGGAAATGTTTGGCAAACAGTGGAGTCCTAATGGAGCCCATCAACTGCTTCTCTGGCATATGCTTATTGGAGTGTGTAAGGGAACACTGGAAAAAAAAGCGAGGTGCTTTGGAGCCATATGAGGAGAGGGAACCAACCTAACCCCTTATTCTCTGTTATTGGTGATGGTGCTTTCTCCATGGCAGTGCTGTTTGTATGAAGGGGGAAGCAGAGTGAACAGTGTGTTTTAATTCTCCCATTATCTTTCCTTCTTGCACTAGAATCTATTAGAATTTAAGTTTTGCACAATTATTCACTGTTCAGCTCATCTCCTAAATCAGCACTAACAGGGAAGGTACAACAGCAAAGTCATGCAAGTATGTTCTGGGCAATGCGATAAGAGGCTCTAACATAATGTTACCCCTCTTTAAATGTTAATGAAAATGGACTTTGGATGGGCTGTGTGCCTTGAAACATGCCCCGTTTCAAATGCAGTAGATGAGGGTTGTTCAACCCCTGGCCTGCAGGGGCTCCCCACACATCTGAAAATTTGGCAGTGGGGGAGGAGTGGAAGCATTAATTGCTGCACCCCTGCTGTCAGATTCCCAAACCTATGGGGACCCCATGGACTGGATAATGTGGCCCTGCACACAGCCAGACCTAGGCAAGGAGGGTTGCATCCACCAGGTGTGCAGGGCTGGATCCAGGTACATGGGGTCAGATGTGGCTGTGTGGGGCCAGGCTGGCGCACAGCTGCAGGGAGGTGTAAAGGACCAAAAGGTTAGTTGCTACTGGGGTGGCCTGTTGTTGTTCATAACAGAGAGAAACTGAGCCCACCCCAGGCTCCTTGTCCTAACTGAGGAAAAGTCAGACAGACCTTTAAGGGGATGAACTCAGGTTTATCTGGAAAATTATTAACGATTAATAATCTAAAGTGCTTGTACTGACCCAAGGAATCAGAGCCACATTTTAAAGGGTTCACAGCCCAGCTCCCCATTTGTTCCTGAAACTAATTTTAGGTCCAAAACTCTAGGCATAATAGCATACAAGCATGAAAATACCTGACCTCGTGGTATAGGCAGACAACTGAACATTTAAATGACACACGTTTTGCCTGAAAGAATTATCTGTAACTAATTGTGGATAAAGTATTACAAATACAAAAAGAAAGGAACCATCAATTATTCTATGATTTTAAAACATCTTCCTTAACACTGATGTTAAAGTGTTACCTTGATAATTTTTTGTATTCCAAACACACAGGGTGGTAAAAATAATGGAGTGAATCAACAAACCAATTCCTGTGAGTTAAACTCCTCAGAAAGTACTGCTTCTGAGTAAGGAGGCTCAGTAGTGGGGTGAAGACCTTTTTGGATAGACCTGTGCTTCGACAGAAGCATCTAACTGTGATAGAGGGGTGAATAAATAAATCCTTTTCATAAGCTATGTTCTTGTCTTTTTAGTAGAGGCACCTGAGGTATGACTACCAATGACACATTCCCCATATACCAGCAAGCATTCTCCATCACAGGTTAATACCACTATATACTTGCACTGGCACAGACCCATCCCTAACTTATTCAGGCCTCTCATGCAATTCAGTTCAGCTCTGCAGTTTTAAATATTAAAAAACATGTACAGCTTATAGCACAACCTTACCACCTATATGAGTAATAATGAATGACAGGATCAGGCCTTTTGGTCCAGCTGGCAGGATCCTCAGAGCCCCCAATATTGAAAATTCATAGAGATTACATTGAATGAAGAAATGATCCAAAGCCATTCAAATCAGTGAGGGACTTTTTTGACTTCATTTGGTCTTGGATCAAGCCTGTTGGGCCAGTTCCTGATAGATGCTTAGTACCCTCAACTCCCACTAGATATTGATGATGTTGGGCACGTCTACATGTGCAATTAATTTGAAGCAATAAACTCTGACTGCATATCGTGTAGGAGTTTATTGCTCCTGGGTGCCGTGTTTGAACGTGTGCCTGAGACCACAGCATATTGAGGTTAGGTCAGAGCAGCCCAAGCTGGAGAGGGCCTGGGGGTGAGTTGGGGGTCAGCCTGCCAGCCTGGGGCTGCTCTGAGCTGGCTCAGTGTACTGCAGAGGGGCTGGCTGGGGCACAAGTGTACTCCAGTATGAGGCTAGCTGGCAGGCAGCCCCCGCACTGAAGCACCCTTGTGCCTCTGCTAGCCTCATCAGTGTCTGCGTGCATTGCTGCACACTAAAGAACTCCGCCGCAGGATACCACTTATATTTACAGGTACTAACCCGTGGTGAGTTTTTTTACTGTAGCCTAATAGGACCGCATGTGTAGATGCTGAGACGTTTACTGCAGAGCTAATTAGGCAGCTCCACAGTACACGTCTCATGTAGATGTGACCATTGAGCAGTGGGCTATGCCTGTATAGATTTACTGCTATAAGTGAAGCTCTGGCTGTATAAAACAGTTGTTAAACTATACCTTCTGCATATCCCACTAATATAGTAAGTCTTCACTCTGAAATTCTTTCCTAGTAAAGTCAAATGGTTTAAGTTTATACCTCCCCATTTTTCTGCCCAGTATGTAAAGTCCTTTGGAATATAAAGGAACAACTGTCTTTCTGGAGATCTAGAAATCAGTGCTACTGAACTACACTATCATTCTCTAATGCAGAGGCGGTCAACCTGTGGCACATGTGCCACAAGTGGCATGGGCAGCCTCTGTCTGTAGCATGTGGCAGATTGGGGAAGAGGGCAGAAGGCAGAGCAACAGATCAGGCAGGGAGCACAGAGCAGACATAACAGCAGATAGGACAGGGAACACAGGGCAGGAGGAAGCAGAGCAGCAAATCAAGCAGAGAGCGGGGATCAGAGTGGCATTTAAAGAGGGCATAGGGCTAATTTTTGGCATACCTACCAAAAGGGTTGACCCTCCACTGCCCTACTCCATTCCATGGTTTAAAACAGTTACAGAAAAGATCTTATTCTACAGGTTAGACAAGAAATTTTTATAGAACCAAACATAATTTCTATCAAGCCCTAATGTTTTCTAGTTCTATTAATTTCTCTTTCAGGGAAAGATCTCAAAGTGCCCTGCAAGCATCTTTTTTTTTTGTGTGTTAAATATAAATATTCAACATTAAGCACTTCTGTCTGCCTGTTGTTTGTAGGTGTAGCTCTCAAAACATTTTGATTAAAACTTCTACCAGAATAGAAAGTCAGTCATCATCATTTAGCAGGTAGAAAAGTATATGTTGTCTTTGGTCAGGAGTACACTTGTACGGATAGTACGTGCTGTATATGTGGGGGCACATGCTGCTACTTAGATTGCAGAGGAGGAGTCAGGAGTTGCATGCCTTGTTCCTAACTCTGCAAGCGATTTACTGTGTGACCTTAGGCAACTGAGTAGACCTTTCTCCTCTGTTTCTCTACCTGCTTAAGGAAGATGATTCTTCTCTACTGCCTGCTGGTGGCATAAGGCTAAAGTCATCTACATCTATAAACTGCCTTGAGCTCCTTCCTGCAAAGGCATCTTAGCAGTTCACAGCAGTTTTGTTTAGATGCACAGACCACAGCAATATTAATTTGCAGGGATTTACCTAAATCACGGCAAGGCGAAAGAAAAATCAAGGGCTGCGAGTGGCCCATGGTACCAGTTTCGCGGTCTTTTCATAGTGGCTTCTCCTGTCGCTGATTGGCTAAGGGGCCCTGGAGGCCCTGCCCCTCACTGCTGACTGGCAGAGAGGAGTGGGGCCACACAACAGGCAGCCCTCTCAGCCAATCAGCAGCAAGGGGCAGGAGGAGCAGCCACCATCTTTGTTGCTCCCCTTCATGCCGGCAGCACCCCCCACCACATGGCAGGCTGTAAGTCTAGGTCACAGTGGCCCTGAAAACTGCTGGCTGTCAGCATTTTATTTTTAGTAAGTATTTTTTTTTCCTGGCAATTCCATGCCAAAAAATCACAGGAATTGCCATTTTTGCAGGGTTCACAGAAACTTTTTTTGTGGTTTCCACAAAAAATATGAAATCTCAAATAGGGTACCCTACTAATTTGTATTGGATTAACAATCTTTTACCAAGCGACATTACCCAACAATATATATAGTATTTTGCCCAGTTTGAAGTGCTGAGAAATGGTCAATTACATTCCAACTGGGAGCCAGGTTCGATGTCGAACACATGACTACAGCTCAGCTATTTGTAACCAAACCTCTGCATTGACTGTCCATTTTCAGGTTCCGGCAGCTTATTGCTGAATATGAACCAGAGGTGCATGAAGTCTCCCGGCTCTTCCGCTCGGTCCTGCAAGAAGCCACGGAGAAAATCAAAGAGGAAGAAGAGGCCAGGAAACTTGCGAGGCAGTGGAACACAAAGCAGAAAAGCAGCGTCTCCCTCATGTCATTTAAATCCCGGGCCAAGATTTCCCCCTTCATCAGTGATATCAAGACCATTTCGGAGGATGTAGAGCGTGGCAGCCAGCCCACCAGAAGAGTGTGGAGCATGCCAGAATTTAGGAGTGCCAAGGACTTTTGATTCCACTAACCGTGAGGTTTTAGACAGTTTTGTTGTGCTGTTTTTTCTTTCAAGGATGAATTAACTATATTCCACCCAGGTGTCATTTCACTTTCATCCCAGTTTTCTCTCCGTTGGCCTCTCTCTCTCAGAAGCTGTGTCCATAGTAACTGCTTCTGATGCACGTAGTCTGTGACACAGTCTGTCACCCAACACACTAGCCTGGGCTATAATTTAGTGGCTTGCGTCAACTCATTTCTTATTTTGGTTCTACTGTTTGTTCTCCTTGGAAAACAGCTTGTTGCATGTTACACTCTGCAGCAGGGCTTAGGTCTGTATACAGGTGAATCAGCCCCATCCCATGGGCCTTGCTCAAATGGGTAAACGCCTGAAGCCAGTGGGGCTACTCCCATGAGGAATGTTTGTGGCATTAGGCCTTTTAAAACTAGGGCTGGCCCCTGATTCAGCTGTTTGGAACCACAAGTAAACCCTTGGCCTCCTTAATGCCAGGGAACCCTCTTTACATGTTAAACCAGCACTGATTCTGATTCAAGTTGATATAAAATCACCTGTCCCTGCATAGGAGATAGATAGTAAATGCTTTGGATGTGGACAGACACATTTTCCATAGCAGCCAAGTGAGGTCCATAATTGAGCATGCTCATTTTTTATTTTATTTTTTTGCATTCACAGCCCCTCAAATTTGCATATGCAAGTGACTCAGAGCTCTGACTACCTACTTTGTGGACAAGGATGCTGTGCATCTGCGCAAGTACAGCTCGGGCAGAAGTATGTACTGCACTTGTACCTACCTGCATGGATGCATATGAGGCACCTTTAGAACTCTGAGTCTTATTCCTTAATTTTTCACTTTTGTTGCAAAATGAGAAGAGGTTACATACCAAATCCTACACCCCTCTGGGGTCAAAACTGTCTCATGTTGAGAGCTTTAGGCAATGCCAATAAGTGCTTCATCTCACATTCCATTGAGAAGCAGATGAACTGAAAGAGATGTTCATGGCTGAATTTGAAAGCAGACTATGGGGAATGTCTCTGGCAGAAAAGTCACTCTTTGTATACAGGGATCTTTCTATGTTCCAAACGGTTAGAGGTCATTCTAACAAACTGCTGCTATGATGTTTTGAAGGCAGAATGAAAGGTTATTGTCTAATGTTTGCTCGCAGATACACAGAGGAGAGTGGTAGGCAATGATGTGATGAACATTTTTCAAGGGAAAATAATGATTTATGCAAATTACACAGCCTGTATAAAGCAGTGGTTCTGAAACTGGTCCTTAGAAGAAGCAGGAACATATTACTGAAGATGACAAGGTTTCACCTCCTGTCTATATGACACTTGCATTGGCAGGATGGTAGAATTGGCTCTTCTGTGAGAAAAATCATTGGTACTGCACCTGTGCTAACTCCTAACCACAAGGGATCTTTCCCAATGGGAAAACTCACAGGGAGGGGCACAAAGTGGGAAAAAAAAGTCTCTGCAAGCTGTCTTGCAGAGCCCTATATAGATCATTCCCTTGGAAGGTTCCATTTGCCTATCCTTGGAGCCTAGAAATCAGTAGGGATCTGATGGAGGCTATGGTCATTCACAGGAGCCCATGTCTTTGCACTGGGTCTCCTCTTCCTTGAACCCACTCCCTGGCAGTGTGGATTCCTGCATTGGGGTAAGGCTCCAGAACTTCTCGCTATGGTATTTCCCAGTACCTCATAGATGCCACGCACACTGCACATGCAGGCGTTCCCCCACTGCTACTTTGCAGGGGTGCGGGGGGAGGGTCTGACCCTGGGATCAAAAAACTCCACACCTAAAAAAAGTGGGATGGCGCACATGGCAGCAGCACACGGTTCCAGAAACCAGAACCATATTCCAGCTACCGGCCAGGCTCCCTGCTACAGAAGCACCACGACTGCAGCTCCTGGAGGCCCCCAGGACTCCAGGTAAGGCTGCTAGAGTCAACACAGTTGCTGGTCTCAGCCTCCCCTACCCCACCCAGGGCAATGTGCCATGCTCCAGAGCACAAATGGCATGGGTGTTCTCTAGGGACAAGCAGCAGTGGCACAAGGTGCTACTTGTCTCTGCAGAAACACGTTCCCACTCGTGGGGATGTGCCTCCTCTGTCTATACTGCACAATGCAGGGTAAATTAACTTGGATGGAGTTCAGGTAAGGCACTACACTGCAAATGTATCCATAGACACTAGGGCCAGAGGAACCACTGTGATCATTTAGGCTGAAATACTATTTCCATTGCCCACAGAATCTCTCTCAGTAAATCATGTATTTTAGGATGGCACCTAATTTCATTCAAAAGACTCCAAGGACTAGCAAGTCCCCTGTATCTCATTGTAAAATCCAATGATCATCCTTGCAACTCAGGAATTGCATCCGCTGCCAAGACCAAATTTGTCTAACTTTAGCTTCCAGCCACTGACTCTTGCAATGCCTTTATCTGAAAGGTGTGGGGAAGGGAGTTGTGCGGAGGTGGGAAACCACAATCAGCTTTTGGGTTTCTAACTTGAGCTCCTTAAACCTCAAATGCAAAGACTTATTTTCAAGCCATTGGATCATTGTTGTGGTGCTACTCTGAACTCTTTCTAGTATTTCCACATAATTTTTAAAAAATGCAGGAGTCCAGCTGCTTTTCTACCACTCTGAGCACTTTTCCACTTCTGCTTGCTATGCTTCTTTGACATACTCAAGGATCACAGTAGACCTTTTATGCACAGCAATGTACTGGGAGCTCCTCATGAGACCTATCTGTATGATGACTGTCAAAGTCCTTTTCTAAATCTTAATACTTTGCAAATGTTACTGATCTTGATCAATTTTCCATCTAAAGCTAAGCTGGCATACTGGCACATCATGATCTTGCTAGCTGTGAAGAGAATGTTGCCACCTACTTTTGAACCAAGGAGGTGGGAAGGCCCGCTGCTGAAGGATGTGAGGTACAAGATCAGACTTCTAGGGCAATGGAGCAAAATTTTAGTGATGTGGGTGAATAAAAGATGAGACAAAAGCTTGCATCACCTCCACTAATACTCCCTAGCTTCAGAAAAACCTTTTTTTTTTTTCAAAGTTCTGGTTATCTAATTGGATGGTATCATCTGCATAGAAGGGGCAGTGCACAATGTATAGGGAAGAGCAGTGTTTGGCACATGGATCAGAGAACAGTTTGTCCCACTGTCCTGGAAAAAGGGTAGGATTCAAACTCAGTATTGATCACTTGAAGGAAGGGGGAAGCAGGTTGTGTGTACAGCCAGCAGCACAGCATATCTCCAAGGGGAATGGGCAGCTATCTTGGGAACATGGCTGATCTTCCTTGCTCTATTCTGCAAAACCCTTCTCTTTCTCTAAAGGGGACCTGAAAGAAGTAATGACATTAAATTACAATAAGGGAAAATTAGGTTTGGTATTAGGAAGAATTTTCTAATGATGGGGTTGGTTAAGTACTGGAATACATTGCCAGATAAGTTGTGGAATCTCTTTTGCTAATTTTTTATGTGCAGATTAAACAACCACATATCTGGAGCAGCTTAGACTGGGATGATCCTGTCTTGAGAGTAAGGGTTGGAGTAGATGACCTTCAGCAGCTCCTTCTAGCCTTGTTTTTCTGTGATTCTCTGACATACAGGAGCAACAGCACTGAAGCTGTGTGTGTAAGAGAATGCATGCCTGCCTTGTCTATACAGGTAGCTTCAGGACCCTTAAATTCAGCTTCCAACATCATTGCATTTCACTTCCTAATGTGTAAATGTAAAACAACTTGCGGATCATAGGCTAAAAGCAGAGCCAGGGGAGAACAAAAGAAACTAAAACCATGGATCACATTTTTGCAAGTTTATGCTATAATAGCCTGGAAGTCCTGCCCATGGCTGAACACACTGGCTTGAGGAATACTTTTTTGCCACTGGCACCACCCTGGAAATTCCGGTCTCTTGTTAAATATTCATGCAAAAGTCCCCATGGATAAAGAGAGCAGAAGCTCAGATTGCATATGCTAAGAAAACTCAGGGCTTCCAAATACAAGTTCCAGCTTGAGCTGGGCTACCTCAGCTCAGGGTCAGAGAGAGAGGGTCAGAGAGATCTGAAGATTTTTGACAATCAAATAATTACTTTGTGGCTTTGTGTTCTCTGTTTAGTAATGTGATAATGAGTGTGTGTGTGTGTGTGTGTACTTGTTTTTTAAAATAGAAATTCTGATGCCAGGATTAGCTTGGTCTCAGCTATCTAGCATGTGTGTGTTGTTGCTGGTGATGGTTCAATAAAAAAAATAAAAAACTGACAGAAAAGCACTAAACAGATTTTTAGAAAAAACAGTACGACTAACTTTTGTATTTATTAGCAAGCCATTCTGTTGTATTAAATGCTGAGATATGCTTGAGAAATGCTGAGAATTTCATCCTATGGCACTGTGTTTTGTATTGGCCCTTCAGCCTTGATTGTATCAATGCAGTATCTGATGAGCCAAAAGAAGTGTTCTGATACACTGAGATAAAGATGTTATTACAATACAACATATGTATGAAATGGCCTCACCCTTTCATATTAAGGACGTGCTTATACACTCATCATGACTCTACTCACAAAGCCAGAACAAAAATCAGGTAAAAAAAGCAGCATACTCCTACTGTGATATACAGGGTATATTGAATTCCTCAATAAGTTAGTATTTAGAGTCAGAGGATACTGTAAGTGAACTGGCCCTTACAACAGAGTTGGGAGAAAAATAGTATGCCTACTTTACAGTAAAGAAAACTGAGGCAGCAAATTTAAGATACTTGGTAAAAGCTGCAGATGGAGCCCATGTCAGAGCGAAGGTTGGAATGCAAGGGTGTTCTCTTGGTTCCTAGACCAATGCTCAGACCACTAGCCCATGCCTCTTATGCTAACCAGTATCAATTTCCAGAATAAACAAATACACAATCTTTCATTTTAACAGTACCAGGATTTCAGCTAAATCTCTGATAGAATTTCCACTGGGTTCCCAGTATTGCCTTTGCAGGAACCAAGATGCTGGGGAAAGGCCAGTTACTGTGGTGGATCAAACATTTTGAGAGAGATGGGAAAAGTGAGTGCTATATTCATCCCTAGTGTAATGCTTCAGACTGACAAAGTTACAGTAGGGCTGAGGTGGGCTCAACTTCCGTATCTGCATATGTGCAAATTGGAAACAAGGTACCTAGGGGATAAGCACGGACATGAGACTTTTGCATCTTGATCCTGGCTCCTCCAAAACCCAGATTGCTAGACTTATCTCTTTGGCCAGGTCATCCAGGGTCTGGGCCTACAGAAAAAAAGACGTGCTTCAGCTTGCTCCACTCTCCAGCTTGCCACAAACGTTCAACAGGTGACTCTAGTCCTTGGCAGAGTTATCTATGCAACTCTGCCAGTACTGTACTGGGAGATGGAAGAGGGCACAACAGCTGACTTGGAACACGGCCCTTTAAAGTTTGCTTCCCCAGTATTTATAAGATTTTCTCCCACAATATCAGAGAAGGCCTGTGCTTGAGCTGCTAAAATGGGCACACAGTGATTTCCATACCACCCCCTAATAAATGAAAGTTGAGCAGGCAATATCCAGAATACATGTGCATGTGCAATTCCTTATTCACAGAGCTGGTAGTTTTTAAAAAAGCAGCAGCTCCAAGCTGCTTGAATTTCTCTCTCGTGTCACGTCACCATGTTGTAGATTTTCACTGCACATGGGGCCCCTTCCTACTTTACACCTGAATAAGCAAGCACTCTACCTTGGGGAGGTACAAGCAAGTCCCAGATACACTTCCAAAGTGGTTAAGTCCAAGATGGGTTCAGATGCACATTGGAGCACCCACTAAACCCCAAGGGTCTAAGCACTATAAGCTTAAACAAAAAAAACAGGGTAACAGTTAGTCTCCAAGGTGCTACCCTATTCTACCTTTGGCCTGACTTCAGACTAACATGGCTAATTACTTCCACAGCATAAGAGGGAACCAGTTGGTCCCAAATTAACGTTCCATAAAAAGATGCAATCCTCAAGGGAAGTTAGACAGCCTCTCACTTCATACAGGGCCTTACTGAAGCTAGCATTCACATAGACTCCTGGACCATTCAGGCTCAGAACATCTGTATCTAGTGACTACACAGCATGCAGACTGGTGGCTCCCACCTCCCCCAAAAGGCCAAGAGACCCAAGGATATGACCCCATGGAAATCAATCGGCTTCAAATCTCACTGAGATTTGGGACCCCTTATTCCAGTGGGGCCAGGATTTAACCCTGTAACTGGCAGTGATGTCCAGGGAGAGGAGGGACATGGAGCTGAGGTCCAGGAGTCTGCTACCACCTGCATACACCCTGACTCCACCACTGCCATAGCACAGGTCATGGGAGGCATGAGCAGCTCCAACTGGAAAGAGAGGAGGAGGATTGACTTCTTGACAGTCTTGTGATGATTAAAACAAATGGTGCAGGAGGTAAGAGACAACTTCCTCATTGCTCTATATCCTATAAAAGGTGCAGCAGAGGGTGGGGATGGGGGGGTGGGTTTGGGTCTCCTGCCAGAGGCAGCATACAGATAAGGCAATCCATCTTAGTGGAGAGTGCTACTTTGCTTCTCTCTCCAGCCCTCCATCACTACCATTAGTTTGGGGAGGAAGAAGCATTTAATCCACTAACCCTTTTACCCACCGACTGCATCCCCCTTTGAGCTTGCCTGCTGTACAAGGCACAGACACTTGTCCTGGCACCTGGGGGAGATTTCACTGACTAGGCAGTACCAACATCAGCATCCCAACGACATGGGGACAAACGTGAGCATTCATACAGACTGCCTGTGATGACACCTGCAGATGCATGTTAGATGGAAGTGTGTTAAAGTCATGTTGGCTTGTTAAAGTCCCAAATGGAAGGGCCCTATCAGTTAAGCCTCAATGTAAAGACCCTGTTTAATAGAGAGGGGTGTGTATAGGGAAGGGGACAAAAACTTAACTCAAACAGAAACATTAATGATATTCAGTATTTCATAGATTTCATAGACATCAGGGCTGGAAGGGACCTCGGAAGATCATCGAGTCCAGCCCCCCGCCCAAAGGGCAGGAAGTCAGCTGGGGTCATAGGATCCCAGCAAGATAAGCATCCAGTTTCATCTTGAAGGTGTTCAATGAAGGCGCTTGAACCACCTCCGGTGGCAGGCTGTTCCAGACCTTGGGGGCTCGGACAGTAAAGAAATTCTTCCTTATGTCCAGCCTGAAACGATCTTGAAGTAGTTTGTGACCATTCGACCTCGTCATCCCTTGGGGCGCTCTGGTGAACAAACGTTCCCCCAGATGCTGGTGGTCACCCCTGATAAACTTGTAGGTGGCCATCAGATCACCCCTGAGCCTGCACTTTTCCAGACTAAAGAGCCCCAGGGCTCTCAGCCTGTCATCGTAGGGTCTGCTTCCCTGACCTCTGATCATGCGCGTGGCTCTTCTCTGGACTCTCTCAAGCTTCTCCACATCCTTTTTGAATTGTGGAGCCCAAAACTGGACACAGTACTCCAGCTGCGGCCTCACTAAGGCCGAGTACAGGGGGAGAATGACGTCCCGGGATTTGCTTGAGAGACGTCCCGGGATTTGCTTGAGACGTCCCGGGATTTGCTTGAGATCATCGAGTCTGACCCCCTGCATAGGCAGG